TTTTAAAAATAAAGTATTATGGCTCTACCTGAAGGGCTAAGACAGTTTTGAGACAGTAATATGAGCCCTTCTGCAGCATATGAGGAGAAAGCAAGGACATGAGCCTCTTGCACTGGGTCAAAAGCTACATCTTCTCTCCTCAAGAACTCCAAGCTCTTGGGTAACAGTGGAGTGGATAAGGCAGTGGTGGAAACAACTGAACCCCAGCTTCCAAAGATTCCATGGTCCACTTAAAGCACCTGAAGAAACACTTAGTGTAAAACAATTTAGTTACCTTATCCCCAAACTTTAATTCTTAAGTAGTACAAACAGGTACACAGGGCACAGTACTGGTTTTCCATCCTGTAGGAGACACTCCTGGCTTCCTATCCATCACTATTGCTCTGCTCCAGAGGTGGGTGAAGAAACCCTTTCAGACTACAAGAGGAGAGGAAGAGGTTGCCTCAGGAAGGTTGCTCAGCTTGTGAGAGAACATGTAGTCCTCAGTGTCTCCAGATCTGAGAACCTGAATGAACAACAGATGTTCTACCATCTCTTCCAGGCCATGAAGAAATGCACAGACAGAAGACAACCGTTTCCCTAAAGGAAGCCTGCTGGACCACAAAGCAGAGGTCAGGTGTCCTGGAATTCCAATCTTGACTTTCCTCATTACTGTCTCCCCCACGTTGTTAATTTTAGATCATCACTTGATCTGCAATCTCCTTACAAGGGATAAACTCCAAATAGGGTCAATGTTAAATTGTTTACTAAAACTGTCTTCCCTTTTGGTAGTGTCTTAAACTTGTGGCCAAACAGTTTTTCCAGATCTTAAACAAAATTAGAGTAAATAAATAATGACTAGGAATAAGACACTTTCCCCTAAAGCCCATGGACTGAAGAAGGAATCTAGAAAGTGGCAAGTACAACTAAATGCAGCCCACTCTGTCCATCTGAACCTACAGCCCAGGGCCAGCCAGGCTGCTATTTTATAATTACATGTATAAATTCCACCCTGCACGTGCTCTTTATTATGACTAATTACAGTGACAGCACATAATGTCTGAACTTATGAGAGGCAGGTACTGCCTTAAGCATTTTCTATGTAATCTCATTTCATCAAGACAACACCCCTATGGTACAGGAACTATTATTATTCCTAAACTATAGCTGAGGAAAGTCAGGCTTAGAGAGATTAATTTGCTCAATATTACTTGGATTCAAACCAGTATGGATAATGTCTTTGCCCATTACCTCTCCAAAACCTGCCAATTATGCTAACCTATAACCTGTATTGAGCACCTGATAAGTAGCTAAGCAATTAAATTTTTTGTTGTGGTTGTTGTGCTTTCCATTACTGGAGATTAAACCCAGAATCTTCATGTTGAGCTATGTCCTCAACATTCTTCTTGTTTTTCATGCTGAGACAAGGTCTCACTAAGTCACTAAGTTGCCCAGGGATTAGGCTCAAATGTGCAGTCTCCCAGCCTCAGTCCCTCAAGAATTCTAGGATTACAAACATGCACCACTATAGCAGGCTTAGATTTTTAAAAATTAATTTCAGTAGTCATGCAAAGCTAATTCCTAGAGTATTGAAGTACAGCTCTATAGTATGAGGATTAAATGCAAATAGGACTTACAATCATATCCATAAGTCTTAATATAACAAAGGATTTAAACTATAGGAGATTGACAATGATTACATATACACAGAACCTGTTTGGCATAACAGCATCTAATATAGGTCCTCTCTGGGTTTGAGATTCAGCTCTACCAGAAATTAGCCCTGTGATGCAGCCCACAACTTAATCTCTAAGTTCCTCAACTATAGGAAGGACTAAATGTACCTTTTCCATGGGGTCATTGTGTGGATTCAATGAGATACAAGTGTTAGGGTTGTTAGTGCAATTGCTTAAACGTACCCAGTACTAAATAAATGTGCTAATAATAACAACTAAATTACCACTGTTTTTTTAAATGTAGAAGTAATAATTTTAGTCATCAGAAGGGCTACAAGTTCTTAGTCATTCCTATTTTGTAGAATGTACCTGAGTTTTTAAATATTTCATTTTGAAATTAATTCACATTTATAGCAAGGTTGCAAGCAAAGGATTCAAACATCCTCTTTATCTAGATTCATTAGTTTGTAACATCTTTTTACATTTACTTTAATATTTTCCCTATTTTTAAAGTTATTTGACCCATTGCCCCTAAGTGCATTAAGTATATTTTCTAAAACAAAGGCTATCTCTTAACATAGCAACAGTAAAAGTATCAAATGCAAACACTGATACAATACTTTAATCCACAGACTCAATTCTAATTTCATCCATAATGTCCTTAATTGTAACTTCTCCATTCCTACTCAGTGAGATACAGTTTGGGACCACATATATCTTTATAGTCTTGTTTAATCTTTAATCTTCAATCTTAAGTTTTTCATCACTGAGTTTTTAGAGATGACAGACCAGTTAGTTTATAGAATTTCATGCAGTTTGGTTTTATTCAGTTTTTCCTCATGATTAGATTCAGGTCATATGTATTTATAGTATACTATAATATAGTATATAATACTATTGAACTGGTTGTATTCTTCTCATTTACCAGAACGCAATGTCTAATCACCCCGTACTGCCAACATTATTCTGATCACTTGGTTAAAGAACTGCTGGGTAGCTCCACTGTACATCATTGTTTTTCTTCATAATTAATAAGCAATTCGTGGAAAAAATATTTGGGGTCCACCCAAATATATTATTACTCTAACTCCCTCCAGTTCTACTAGATGTGGCATCCTTAGGCAGTTCTGGCTTGTGCACTATAGAGAGCCCCTTTCTGCTCTCGTCACAGTCTGCAAAGTTCATATTTGTAATCCCATGGAAAAGTTAACTGGAATTGCAGTAAGTTAATTCCAATCTATCACTTCCACTGCAACCCATACCAAAAATAAAGACTCTAAGGCACATTTGTAGTTGTAGGGAGCCTAAGTCCAGCTAGTAGGATAGCTACCAAGAACAAAGGCCTCTACCTGTGGCTGAACCCAGGTTTTATTAGTTCATGAAGAGAGGAGTGGCTCCAAGACGAGTGACAGGAAGTGCACAAGTGCCATGAGCTGGGCTAGGGAGATGGCCTGAGATGACCTCTGAAGCGTGCAGAGAGAAGGATATGCAGAAAGAGTAGTCTGTGTAACACAACTCGAGGCAGTTTTGGGGTGGGTGCCTCACCTTAGATGTGTAATTTTTTATGCCCTGGGAAGTTATAGCCTCTTATCCCAAGGCTCGATCCCATCTGACAGCATGGAGCTTGGCTCTCCTTCTAGCCTGGTTCACACATGCTTTCAGGGAGCTACAGGGAGGGGCAACACTGACCTGTCCCCTTGCTTTAAGACTACACATCAGCACCTTGACTGGACCAATCTGCATTACTTAAAGCCAACAGAGGGGATAAGGAAAAGTCCTAGCCTGCTCTGAACATATCAATACATGGAAGTAGGGCCAGGTTTAGCCAAACTGGAGTTAACTGCTTTATTTATTTATTTTTTTTAATGTATTTGGTACAGGGTCTCACTACATAGCTCAGACTTGTAATGATCCTTCCATTTTCAGCTTCCCCAGAGCTGGGATTACAGGCATGTGCCAACACACCCGGGCCTGGTCGCCAGCTCAGTGTGCCCCAGGGGTGGGGCCAGTGCAGTATCCTGGACTAAGGATCAAACCTTGATCCCTGAGCTTGCCAAAGCAGGCACTTAGTCTGCTGAGCTATCTTGCCAGCCCTAACATTCACTATTATGGCCCCAAAATGATGATTTTTCTAACTCTATCCTTCTTCCATATTTAATAATTAAAATTCTACTATGAAGAGGAGCTTCCCCTTCTTTTACACAGTCACTTAATAAGTGTTGGCTATGGATTCTTACTTTACTCAGCAGGTTTGAGTTTTTAAAAATACACTTTAAATGTAGGAGGTAAGAGACTACAGATTTGTATTAAAGCCATTATTACTGAGACAGTTGACTCCTTAGGCAGGACGGAAGCTATTAACTGAGGACACTACTCATCTTAAATGCTTCTAAGCAAGGGAGATTTAACAGCCAAAGGCACTGCAGTTCAGACTCGCTCAATAGACAACGCGAGTTATCTCTACCACGTTAGAGTGTTGCTCATCATCAGACATGATATCATATCCCAAAAATTCCATCCAAGCAACCCATCTATTTCTCCACAACTAGAAAACTTGAAGTGTTTTGGCAAACTCAAAAGGACATGATTTACAAATAGTAGGTAATATTTGGATCTTTCTACGAGATCTGGGTTCCAGCTTAAAAAAAAAAAATACAAATGATTTCATTTTGGAGCTCACTGTCACATTCTCAACAAACAGCTCCTCATATCAGAAGTTAGGCATGTGTTATATACAAATATAATGGGTTCATGTATATTTATTTTGTGGTCAGGGACCACACACCCAGTGCTATTTACAGTATTCCTAGTGCTCAGGATACCATAAGAAGGGTCTCAAAGATGAAAACAAGGCTTGGGTCACTCAGAGTAGGACTGCAGTCCTGCTGCGTCCACAGAAGACATGGCTCATGTTTGCCTCCCGGGACGGCTTATGTATGTCACGTGAATCTCAGCAAGTGTACAACTCCACATATGACACTCTTTGGACTCTGTCATTATTTTAACGAAAAGAAGCCCTTTATAAAAGTTTAGGGTCGTTATGACCTTGTGCTACAATCAGTTTGGAAAAGTTTAAAAAGAAAAAAAAAAAAAAAAACTTACCAAGAAGAGTCTGGGGACCCCAGTGGCAAGTCTCTCAGTCTTCAAACGCCAGAGCAGGGGTTGTGGGGAGTTGAGCAGGAACACAATGGGCTTGTGGTGAATGTGGATTGAGGAGATGGGGTTCAGGTGCAGCGTGGCCTAAGAAGCAACAGGATGAGGGGAGATCTTAGGTCTGACTTTCCACACAATACACTCAGTGCAGCATCTGGCTATTTTTCACTACTCACCACTGAGAGGACCAAACTATAAGCTAGCTCCAAATCTGCAAATAAGAAATACATCAGATTGACCTGGATGATACTGCTGATACAGGATCTTTATTTTTTTATTACAATAAAGCTATTTCATATAGCTCAGCAATACTAACATCAACTAAAACATTACTCAGTTCCCCAAAATAGAATACAGATAAACAAAACACTTTTTAGAGTAAGTTACCTTCCCTTAGTTCTGCCCAATAAATAGTTCAAGTCAAATTATTAAACTGAAAGTTAACGAACAGAGTCCCCTAGGGGTAGGTTATCCCTCTGGACCTTCAGAGCAAGGATTTTCTTCTCTCAGGTAAGCTCCAGCCTCTATAAAGCTGAATTCTGCCAAAGAAAAGTGATGACAGCAAAGAGAAAGACAGGGGGAGCCGCCAGTGCTGTCTCGCAGCTACTAACATGAAGGAATTTTCCAAAATGAAGCACAAGGAATGCACAGAATAAACACAGATTGTGTAGTGCTACCGTAAACAAAAAAACCAAAAATGGAAGAAAACTACATATCTGGGTAGCAACACTGTGCTCAGTTTTGACAGAAGATCAAAGACTATTGCAGGGTACCACCATCATATCATCAAAAAGGAGCCAGAGGAAGTGGACTCAACAACATCCTCTTGGAGCACATGATGTACAGTTCGTCTATGCAAAGCCAAGAAAGCAAAAGACACAAAAAAACCTGATGAGATGGTTTCCTTCAGTGTGTCTAACCCGAGCCTTCTGCTCAGAGAGGTGAGGCAAGACCTTGCAAGAGCCACACAGGTAGGTAGCTAGGTGTATGTACTGAAGATCACAACAGAGTAACAAGAGCGGTAAAGGACCCACCCCCTCAACAGAGCTTAGGCCGGAAAGATACAGACTGAGAGCACATGAGGAACGGTGATACATCATAGTTATAACCATTCTGAGGAATAAAGGGCCTGGCCCTATGACCATAGGCAATCAGGGACGTACACCAAGTGCTGACTACTTTATAGCCACTGTGACTGCTGGCCCACTTCAACCTCAAGATAGCTCTACCTACTTTTCAGGGACTGCCTTTGTTGTCATGTCACTAACAGATAAGACACAGATCATTCAAAACCCGTGCTTTACGATATGGTAAGAAAAGCCTAAATGTCAACAGAATGTTTTAACTCTCTACATTTGATATTACAGAAGTACTTTATTCTATGAATAATTTGTACTTAGTAGATAATAGTGTGTTTGTTAACTACTGAGTGTACATATGTCAATTTCCAAAACAGACTATAAGCAAAGATGTCTTATATCATGGGTATATAACATTTTGACTTCCCTGGACCACAAATAAAATATATAATATAGGTAATGTATACATATAGTATTTTATATAGTCACTATATAATTTTGTTATTTTACAGTAACAAAAATTTTAATACTTTATTAGGGTGTTAAAATGAAATAACACAGGCCAATATTTAATAATAAGAAAACATATATGATTAATAACAAGACACCTGTCTTCACAGACACACACATGTGTAGGAAGACTGAATCAGTACTGCCAGTAATCATGCCTTTTACTTGCCAAGTCATATAATTCTGATACAAGCAAGTTTGGATTCAGCTACCTGCGTGCAGGTATGGGAGGCAGAGCTTGCACTGCACCTTGCCCTCCCTACACAGCATTCACTTGTCACCTACGGAGTCCACACTCAGCACCGCGCAAATGAGTCAAGAAAAATATCACCCCAAATCTCATAACAATGTTAAAAGCTTAAGATCTTGTGGAACTGTATTGTTAGCTACCCAGGCTATGGGCTAGACTTGCCTGCTGTACATTTAGTACTGTGCTTACTATACTGTGGAAAATTTTAAAATATCACAGCAAATTTATAAATTTATGCTACCCAAAAGGTTAACAGAAAAGGTTGAAGATATGTGGAAAGTGACTTGGCTAATCTGCAGAAAAAGCACAAAACATAAGAAAGACTCAAACTGTCATGAGCTATTTGAGCACACAGTCAGGATCATTCTTATATTGATGTAAGCACAATGGATTCAGGTAGCCGAATTCAAACTTGCTTGTATCAGAATTATATGACTTGGCAAGTAAAAATGTTATATACCCATGATATACGCACAAATCCAAGTACCAAATGAACGGTGATGCCAAACCCCAGTACAGCAAAATAATCAGTTCCTGTCGTACAGTCTCACAACACACTGGAGATGTCATTTGCGTACAGAAATCAATGGACTGAGAGTCACTGAAAATGAGAGAGGCAGCAGAAGCAGCAGAGGTGAAGACAGAAACTGCAGCGTTAACTGAACCAAGGGACGTGTACTATGAGCGGCCCATACCACAGAGTGAAAAAAAGAGGAAACCCATTACTCGGGTGAGAGTGCCTGACAACTGCAAACACTCTCTGACTCACGCATGGCACGTGCCAGTAAAGGCTTCTTTATTGATTCATTCCAAAACTGTTTACTGGGCACTAAGATAGCAAAAAGAATAGCAGTGTGTATCTGCAGGTGTATAGCAACAATACACACTTGTATTGCATGTTTTTCTGATGGTTTTCTTTTTAGTCGCTAGGCATACGATTCTTAACACTCTTAAGATACACAAAAGTCTTGTTGAAAAGGTATGCTACAAAATAAATAAGAGCCTATCTCAAATGAACACAAGCTTTTTTAGAAAGCTTATGAAATAAGATGTATGAAACAGATTCTGGTGCGCAGGTCCAAAATTTCCCAGATGGTGCACAGTGTCAAGGCCTGGCCCAAGACAACCAAGCAAGGATTTCTAGGAGTTCCAGCTCTCTGAGCTTTTCCTGGAAACGGCTTTCTCTTCAATATGTGGCAGTGTCTAGCCAAGATGAATCTCCTGACTCTGGCACACAGGTCCCAGGCAAAGCCCCAAAAGCCATTTGGCAAAGAATAATTCACACTACGATTGGGAAATTAAAAGAAAAATACGTAATACTTTTTTAGAAAGATCACTTGGCAGGGACAAAGAGTCCTATGAGTACAGTCTCACCTAATCCCTCAGCAATCTTCCTCCTCTATACGGTACTTCCTCTACTTAATACCTCGCCAAAGGGAAGACAGAGAAAGAACTAAGAACAACAAACAAAAGAATGAAGATGTAAAAGCTCCCAAGAATGTGAGCCCAACATACCTGGAATATCTCAAACGCTAAGGTGCCTAACTTCTCCTAGGCTGGAAAAAAAAAATGAAAAGAAAATCCTCTTCAGGAACAATTATAGCTCAGGAATAGATGATAGTTAGAACCCTCACAGCATCCTGCTGAGGTTTTTCCTGGTTAGCTTGTTCTGAGGTCACAGTCACAAGAGCTTAGGCAGACTGTACGAAAGAAATATCACAAGAGGTAGTGACATCAATGGTACCCACCAGTTCCTAGCTTAGAAATCCAAACAGTAGTTTAAAGAGTGAACTCTCAATCCTTCTTCACATGTACACACAAAGATACATTTAACAGCTGAACATGGAGCCTTCAAAGACAGCATGGCACTGAAGATGCAGTGATGCAAGCTGTGAAGGGACTGTGTCCCACAGGGAGGGACAACAGCTAGTCTCTACCTCAATGGCTTCTTCTGTTAAGCTTTGAAAGTCATAGAGCCTTTGAGAACTCTCGTCATATATACATATACACAAAAGCAACACTACATAAAATTTTATAGACAACATCAAGAAAATATGTTTACTTCAGGTCCCATAAGCTTCAGGCTAAGCATCCATTAGCTCAGGGTTAGCAACTAATTGTAAAGGTCTGGAAAGTTCTAACAGTAGAAACAGAAACAAAATGGCTCCATTTGATTACACTAGAAAGGATGCTCTGGCCTTAAGATGCCAGCCTTCTGGGGAAAGAACTTAACAGATGACAACTTGGAACAAAAACACTTTCACATGCAGTTTCTGTGGCCTCCTCAAGCCCGCAATTTGACCACACGCTGGCCCATGAAGCCCAGCACAAGGCTTCCTGCTCTAAAGACGTTTGTCTCACACTCTGCTAAATGTCCAGACTCCCCAAAGGTGTGAGAAAGTGCAAGTCGTCACATTTCACACCCCACTGATCCCTTCCCCTAAAAGGCAAACTGGTTTAATCAGTTCTACAGCATCTATTGCTACTGTGTCTTCCAGATTACCTCTGTATTCCAACTAGTGTACTAGCTGCAAATTTACCAAAAAAAAAAAAAAAAAAAAAAAAAATCAAGGCAAATCTTTCCTGGGTGCCTTTTTGGATACAACAGAATAGAAGTCTGTCCAGAGTCAAGGACACTCTCTAAGGAGCACAGGCCTCAGAACGGAAAGACAACTCTCCTTTCTCTCATTTGGGAAGCATGTCCTTTCTCATACTATCACCAGATAATAAGAAGAACAATATTCTCTGGGCATTTCTACAGTGAGGGTTTCCTTGCTTTCTAAGAATTATTAGGAAGAACCATATATATATAGTTTATATAGTTTTAAACTCTGTAAATCACTTTATGAAAACAAATTATGTACATCCAGGAAGGGGGACAAAAACCTACTCTCTTTATGGAAACATCCCGTATAATTTTTTTTAAATTTTCCACAGTTCATAGTCTAGATGCAAGACATTCCTGACAGAGATTTCAAAAGATTTCTTAATAGCAAAGCCCCTGCTCTTGGGTTTGTTAAAGCAAACAAAAGCAAAGTGAGCAAAACAACTGATATGAGAGTCTAACAGTTACCCAACTTGGCTAATGTGCTAGTGAGGTTTCATTTCAACATTTCTGAGAACAGCCCCTGCGGACCCACGAAACAAAGAAGTCATCCAAAACACTACCAAAGAGAATTCTATCATCTAAAACAAGACCAAATGAAGTTCTGAAATGCGTGCTTCAATGATCCATTTACACTAAGATA